ATCAAATTAATTGGTTCATGTCAATACATTAACTACAACACTAACAATGTGTTGGTTTTTTTTCGAGTATTTTTCAATTATTTTAATAAGACCATAAAACGGCTACAGATAAAAAAAAAACTATGAGCAATTCAAAGTGACACAACTATAAAACACTTTATCTTCAAAGCAATTAATTACTAAACATGAAAAAGTAAAATTTAACATGATTAAAATTAATGAAAGTACACAACTATATTATGTCACTATAATAACTAATTCAGAAAGATATTGATAGGTATTTAAAATATTTTATTATAGTATTATTTATAAGGAGGATCAAAATAACATTATTTATTTGATAAATTATTAATAGTCTATACATAAGTAATCACTGCATTGTCTAAAGTTTTACTTAGAAATTTAAAACATAGAATTTAGGTCGATTTAGTTGATTTAATATTTTACAAGTCTTTAAAATTTCTATAGCTAGTAGAAAAAAACTTAAAAACTCTGTTCATATATTTATAATTATAATCGATTGACAAATTTAATAATGTTTTGTACTTTTGCTACTATATTGTATAATGTCTAAAAATGACTATAAAGTTAAATATTTTTAAATGTTTACTGTTTCTTAAACATTTAATGCTATACAATAAATTATTTATTGATGATATATTGATACATTTAATTTGATCATAACCCATAAGTAAGATAATTAGTATAGGTATTTAAAAATAAAGTTTATAGTATATATAAGTACAGGTGTACTGCGTATAATACATATGTAGTTATAGGGATTCCATCACATCCGAAATTGTTTGTATTTTTTTTTTAAATATTTCAAATAACCCCCACCACCCCACCAAAAAAAAAAGTTTATGTTTACGCTTGAATTGATATTTTATAATAGGTCATAAAATATTATTATTAACATATAACATAATTAATTCATATTAAATATAATAGGTACCTTATTATAGAATTATTATAGTTAATATTAAATAATTTTAACTATATACTGAAAACATACGCCTTGTACCTACTAAAATATAAAATGTTGTTATCAAATGACCTATGAATGGAAACATAATTGGAAACATATTATTATTTAGTTTAAAAATTGGTTCTGTATAGTTATAAAATCGTAAAAAAATGTTTTCATTATACATCATACAGTATCTATGCATTTTTCTTACTGTGATCGTTTTTATTTTAGTGCATCTTTCTAAAATGTAGAGGAATTTGTATTATACATTTGAAATAAACATCATTACAAAGGTAAGTGTTATATTTGAATTATTGATATTAGTACAGTAATAATTGTTGTAAGAGCGTAACTTTTTTTAATTAAGCATATGCCATACCGTTGATAAAAAATAAAAAAATAAGTTAAAACACAAATACCAAATTATTTGCGTTGTAACTTTGTAAGATGTAAAATAAATTGTGAATTTATTGTATCATTATTAATACGATCAATCAATATATTCTAGGAATTCATTCACAATACTATTATTTAAATAATATGTTAAATAGCCTATGCATTGTGCATACTATTTATGTAGTATATAATACATACAGTACGCACTTTTATGTAATATATTTAATATTTATGTAATGTCAGTACATTGATTAATGATTTAACGAATTTACAATTATTAAACAATCAAATAATTATTATGTATTATACATTACCATGCATAAATAATCTTAATTTGTAGTCATTTCTTATTAAACGTCAAAAACACAATTGATTTACCTGACCTATTTATTATTTAAATTTCGAAAGCAATTTTACTTGCATTTATATTTTACTAGATTTAACTCTACAGGCTATATGCGCAATAAAGCTGGACGCCCACGTAATAAATCGTATTTCTTTCAATATGATAAGTATCTGTACTATTGAATATTTAATATTTAAGTTTAACTTTTATACAATACAGGTAGGTAGGACTTAATCAAATATTATATTTTTTTTTACCTTTATTGAGCTTTTAAAAAAAATACTTACTTTATTATTCATGAAGATATTTATAATTGTTAATAATGTAAAAATAAAATTATGTTTACGTTCAATCGGTATGATAATCGATAAAACACTAAGGTATTTTGTTTGGTCAGACTAGATTAATTCGTTTTACCGAATATAAAATTTCGTATAATATTATAAGCACATCGAGCCTGGTCTTGGATTACAAAGAGGATTAAAGCAAACAAAAACAACAACAATAATAATAGTTATAATCTTGCAAATATTATTATAAAGTTTTAATCGAAAATCCATCCTTTGTTTATTTTTAATTAAATACCTAATAAGTATTTTGGCGGTTACGGTCTGTTTGTTATCAACAATCGTCGGTCGTCCAAACGTGTTTGATAAATTGAATAGGGTGTGCGCCATAATTTGAATACGTCCGCGTCTCAACATTGCCTTTACCCTGACGGTCTGACTGAAATATTAAACGCCAGTAAAAACTAATAACAATTCGTGTGTTCCCCCAAACAATCGTAACTATGTAATATTTAAAAGTTAGCGATACAGTGACGAACTGTCTAGTTAGCACCGACTATGGTAGAGACGACTGGAAACGATGTGATGGGAGGGTGACTCGGTACGCAATTGCCTCGGTAGGTACCGTCTGCCCTTCCCTGCCCAAATTGGTAGATGGCCAACGTAGTGCACGCTATCTGCTTGGTAAAATATCAACTACTTGGATTTTGATTTTTCATTGATTTTTATCATTTTCATTCTTATCATCATTAAATTTTCCATCCAGCCACTGTGTAGCGTTAAAACCAACTGTGTACTGCGGAAATCAGCAGAGGCACTTCGGACCCGTTAAAAATTTGCTCGTTTCTACTTCTCTCTATCTCAGCCCGCGATAGTTTTAAATTTCATAGTTCAGTGAATTACAAGCATTACAATTAAAATTGTTGCGTTACTGTTCATTTGCAATATTACCTTTATATATATTATAGAACCAGTAAGCCTTTAGTAAATATTGTTAAGCTTAGGTAATAATATTTATTATTTATTTATTTATTTATTATTAATAAGATGGACGGAAGCCCAATTTAAATATAAAAACTAAGTTTAATATTGGTATAATATAATATAATATAATGGTTGATAAGCAGTATATTATTGTATTATCTATCACAGAGTAACTTCTATTCCCCACGGCCCTCGAGTTCATCTTTTTATGACATGCCAAGTAGTACAATATGCTAAAGGTAAATATTAGTATATTGTTATAGGTAAAGTTTTAATATTTGCAAATTGTAATATTTACCTAAGGATAATAGTTTATTGTAAGAAATATCAATATTATATCTATGTAAGTTGGTAAAGATTTAATACCTAAGTATTTAAAGATTACAATTATCTTGCAAATTGTAATATATTTAAAATATTACGAGTATAAAGCAGATCTTATTACTAAGTTGGCTTTTCAAATGAATTTTTAAATTCTCAAATTTAAAATATTATACTTTTATCGAGACAATCGAGCTCTTCATTTATATAATTCAGCTAGGTATATAAATAACTGATTGCTAGTCACCTGTTGGCTATTATATATTATCCAATTTTATAATTGGACTTTGCTTTCATATTATTTATATACAGCTAATCTGATAATTAGAATAATTTTTGGATTTATCACATACCTACTTAGACACGGTAAACACACCCCCTCCCTTATAATAATATTTTTGTGAATCGCGTGGTTCAATATATCCCCATCGTGCCACTGTTTCAAATGTTAATGCATTATCGTATAGAACAATCGACGTAACCTTAGTTTGACCGAAATTACTCGTATTATCCTTTATAATATAAGTTAATGGATACACGTAATCAGGTCAATGCTATAACGATTTTAAAAGCATCGCCAGTATTTATGATATCCACAAGGATTCTATAAAGTGCTTGGTCGAGTGCTTAACTGATTGACATTTGAAACATGTCTAGTTTTGTAGGTACGTACAGCAATATTATAAAAGAATTGCAACTATATTTTCGATTCAACAAAAACCTACAGGTAATCAAATAAGTATCAGTTTGTATTACACAAAACATGTCGTCGGTCCATTCTCAGGATAACTTATCACGATTCATCGTATTTCTCGTGAATCGAAATTCCCGTATGACCTTTTTCGCCAATGGTATTTTCAGCAAAAGTCCATCAATCCGATAAAAAGGATTTATTCCGAAAGCCTTTTCCTCAACGGTTATTGTTTCAGAAATGAAATAAACTCAAAAAAGTATAAATGCATGGAGTAACCGAATGTAACAATATTTACTCCACAGCTAAGGTTTTTCACGTCAGCTAGCTGTCAGTTGGAATTTGTTTATTCATTTTATTTCATTATCATGGCTGAATTTTGAATGTTCATTGGGACAAAACCTTGGTAGTTTATTTACACTTGGTATAAATTACTAGTCAATGCCAAAACGTACTGGTATTGCCCAACATTACGTCAAAAAGAATGCTAAGTGACAATTATAACTGCGTTTAATATTTATGAAAATAAAGATTATTTCGTACGAATTGTTGGACGATCACGACCATGTTCGTAACCTGAGTGCGATATCATCAAATATTCGTTAAAGCGGAAGGCTATGAGTACTAGCCATAGTGGAAACCTGCTCAAATATCACATGTAAATAGATTATAGAACATGATGCAAACAGCGTGGTGTTTATGACATAGTTGCTGCTGTGTGATTTATGTACTAACAATACAATGTTTTTGCAAAGAAAACTATTCAGTACGCCACTGCCCTTATAGCCTTATAGCAGTACAATATTATTTTGACGAGTACACGATCGCTTGTGCACCACCTAAGATGACGAATGATACGAGCCTACGAAGAAGTTTTTCTAAACTCATCTCTCAATAGTTACTTTTTCATTTTGACCAGTGAGTTTACCGATAAATTCAGTCTGCTGGACTTCAAGCAGCATACAATGATCTGATGATCGTGTATTGAAAATCTGTACTTATAAGATGATATCACTGACAATTGTTGATCATTTTGAAGAGTATTTTGTTTTTGGGGTGCCAGCTCGAGATAGAAGACTACCACGTTCCCCACTAGTCATTTTAAATCAGCACATAATAGTTCTCATTGGTTTGCATAAGACTAATAATTTGAGAGGTGTCTTAATCGCTTCCAGTTCGATATTGGAAAACATCAACCTGACCTTTACTTTGCTCTTGCTGGATTCCAAAAGTTGCAAGCGGGTGCAGAGATAATGATAGCAGAACTGAGTGTAGAACGAAATTTATGAGTTCAGCCAGAAAATAAATGGCAGGATTTTCAAAGGAGAATTATGTCCATTATTGCTACTGATTTTAACATATTTTACAAGGAGTTAGAATTTCTGAGAGTAATCGTGCATAGGTAGTATTGCTTTGTAAATTTGCAATAATATTTTACTTACTATTATTGATTTTTAACAATTTTGAAAAAGTGTTTCGAGCTTATTGATTTTTGGAAAAAAATACCATTCGGGCTGAATTTGAAAAAGGATCTTTCATGGATATTGTGATTCGGTAACAGGGGGGTACCGCTTATTAGTATTACTAAACTTAGCTGGATAATTGGGTTCAGAGCAATAAATTCAAGATATATCTTAAATATAATCAAAAATTTCACGAAGTTGCAATGGACTACTAATTAATTTTCTGATAGGTATTATATTAAATTTCATGAAAATGATAATCAAATATATGTGAACATTTTTAAATGGTATGTAAGAATAAGAAATTGTAACAGTACATGGACTACTAAATAACAAACATTAGACATATAAAAAACTAGAAACCCCTATAGAAATTTTGATAGCCATATGCCAACAGGGAAAAATTGCATGATTGATAATATCAAATATGTATATTGTATATATTTGTAATATATATTATATTATTATGTCATAATATTATATAAATATGTATAGGTATCTTATATTCTTATAATCTTATCTATTGAGTCATTTTTTAAACATATCCCTGTTGGCAAATGGCACTAGACTTCAAGTTACTGAGTTGATAATAACATAATAATAATTTTAAATTTTTTTTATAGTTAATTACAGTGTAAAATTTTCATATAATAGCCATAGGGGATTCAATTGATAAGTGATAACTGATAAGTGATTACAAAATATAAAATTAATACCAATATACGACCATATAAAAATATAATATTAATTTATAATTATAACCATTGACATAACAGTATTTCGGTAGGGTTTTAATTCGTATACCTGGTTGATAATGTACTAACTGATAAGTTATTCCTAATCAATGTTGCTGTGTTTCAATATTATTTCTAATACTATAAACACGTTTAAAAGAAAAAAAATATTTTCATAATTTCATGAAATATTTCAAGAAGAGTGAATTTCAATTTGAATATTTCAATGAAATTGTCAAGTGAATATTTCAATTTACAACCTAGGTATTATGATAGTTCACGTATCGTGTTGTAGATTTTTTTTGTTAATTCAAGATAAGATAATTATTTATTTATTAATTTCAAGGAAACCGTAATTTATTTTTTACACTGAAAAAACCAAACAGTTGTTTGTAATATAAAAATAATATGATTGACTGGACATTACAATTGCTATAGGGATAGCTATAAGGTTATAGTTAGATTTAATAAAATATCATAGTCAAATTATTATAGTTTTTCGAACTGAAATATTATGCTATTTTAGCTATATTTTTTAATTAATTCAAACAACAAAAACTTCAATAACTATAAAATAAAGTAAAAATTACCATAAAAAATAACTATATTTATATAGTCAGTATAAGTAAATTATTTTAGTTATTTTACCTATAAAATATTTATATCTACTATAATTTGTTCAACTATAATATTATAGTAATTTTTTTTTCCGTGTAATATTATATTATATTATATGAAAATATGCCCATCTTTTCAATGAAAACAATACTCATACATATTATGTCTGTTATATATTTTAACGTTGACATTTCAATGGTGGTTGGAGGCAGTCTCGACCTTCTTATTACAGTATATAGTGTTGTTTGGTATATGTAATGTTAAACTATATTGTACGTGTTATAATTATAATATTATATGGTATAATATACTGCGTGTGATTGCGGTAGGTAGGTACTATAATTATTTCTATATGTATAAAAAGTCGAAGTAATAATATTGAAAAATAATGATAACGCGTGTGGTAGTATAGTAAAATATACGTTACACAGTGGATAAGTAAGATCATGTAGTATGAAAATTCACAGTAAACATATTTACAACGCTATACTCGTGTAGCATTTTGTTTGTGAAATAAATTGCGATATTATCAGATATATACCATTTATGAAAAATATAATATGTGTATGGTCTGTAGAAGGTATTGAGTGTGCGAGGAAAAAGAAAAGTAAATATGTCTGGATTACAAGATTATAGTACGTAACGTATTATGTGTGTCGTGTATTATAGACTTTTTAAACAGAGAGCGTTAGAAACTTTTTGAGTTCACCGAGATAGTAGGGACGTTTTCACGTTAAAAAACGATCAACATGTTTAATAATAACACACGTGTAAAAATATCACAACCGACGATATTATAATAATCCAGGGTAGTGTTGAAACTATATAGGTAGGTAGGTGTACTCTTGTTTGTTCGTACGTTTTTTTTTTTTTTTTTATCTCGTCGAAACAATATTTAAAAAAACATATACATACGCGCACGGGAAACACGGGATTTACCAAGCGGAAGTGTTCATTTTTTGGGATCACTGTCGGAAATTGATAAAATATATTATTTCAAACAACGGGATTTCAATTCGCACAGCGTCGGGAACGACGGCGGTGACCGTTCCTGTCCAGGACGAAAAGGCTTTAACACGAGTGTCAACTTGATCCAACGAACTTTTATACCCGTTAGTATTATGACCAGTTTATATATATATATATTAAATACCATACACGTGAGGTATATGGTATACTTATTGCGACGCTGCGCTGCATTCGGGAAGGAGGCTAATCCGATGTGACGTTTGTTGTTTTCTAACCCATTTGTGGATAATATAATTTAATAACAGCCGTCATGATATCGTTCCTAGACGGTTAAACGGAAAACATAATATGTACGACGTATCGTCTCACGAGCATTGTTACACACAAACAATAATCGAATGTCGACAAATACGTTATCCGATTTCGTGGGTTCGTATTACGAACAGAGTACCTACCCATACAATAGTGCACTATGTTTACTTGTGCAGTGACACATTCGAGTTTTAAATATTATGTTTATATATAGTCACCTTTCACCACACGTCGTGGACGATAGACATATAGATAGCTGCGTATTAATTTCCTCTGAGTTACATATTATTATATTATTATCAAAAGTATAATAATATTGAGACCGTTACTTCGGGCGACAGTTACCAGTTCGAATATTATAGGGTCTGTCCGAAGATCATATTGTGTTCAAATGCAAACTGACCGAATGGTCATATTATTATGTTAGACCTCAGAAATGTTTAGTGTACCAAAAAACGAGTGTTTAAAATATTAAAATATTAAAAAAATGTTTATATTTTTGTTAACCTACAAAATTAAACATTATGTATTTCCGAATTGAAATTTAAAAATTGTGGGCAATCGTAAAAACGGCTACATTAGGAATTTAAGAATTTTAACTTAGATATAAAAATATTAAACATTTTGTCATTCACAAAAGTTATATATTAGTATATTACAGACTTAAATGATGGGCGATTGGCAAGTAAATATTTTAATTTATCGTACCTACTTTTTGCTTAAAAAAATATAATATTATGCATTAATTGATTTCAATCTTAAACTTGATTCTATACTTTATTTTTTTCGTTTTTTTCGTTCGTCGTTCACAAACTAACATCTCTATTGTCACTTCAGTTTCATTTTGATATTTTTGCAATATCGTTGTATGCATTTATGTAAACATAAAAACAAATATAATTAGGAAAATGAATGCATTTATGTATTCTATTTATCTATCTGTGACTATCGTATTGGTCGTTCTATGCAAATCTCGGATTAATCGTTCTGACACTGACCACATTTCTGGAGGGAAGATTGGTGGGTTGTAATTATTGTCTCGTCTAGGTTTTCCTCTCATTAGTACTCCAAAATGTGTTTTTAAAATAATTAGTATTTCTTGAACCTAACCAAGAGATTAAAATAAAATAATCCATACCTAATGATACATTCTTTTTCTATTTTCTATTTATATTATAAATACGTTAGACAATATACCTATTATACATACATTATACTAATGAGAAATAATGCCATAGCTGGTAAATGTGTGGGAAGTAAATTCAATTCTAGATACTGCGAAAAAAAGAATTAAAAAGAAAATTCGGAAAAATCGGAATCACGTGCGATAATTTTTAATTTTTATTTAATTTTTTGACCTCAACTACAAACACGGGATCAGGACCATGATAATGTTCAGGAATTGAGCAGTGCTCTTCAATGATGATATGTTTTCCATCACGAGACTTGATAGTTTTTATTTTAGGTCCACACTTATATTAACACATTTTTCGAATAATTTTTTCTAATTAGGTACCTACATTTTTATTTTTATACATATTATGACAATATTTAAACTTAAAATAGTACCTACCTTCATTAATTATTGGGTATAGTTTGAATACTTTCAACGCTCGGGTTGAATTAGATTAAATTAATTTTTTACAATAAATAATATAAATCAAATGAACCAGCAACACATTCAGAACACAATATCAAATAAACTGAAATACCTATGCAAGGATACTAATTGGTCTCTGTTTAGAATCTTTTTTTTATAACTTCCATTAAATTATTTTGAAAAATGTTGCTGTTGAGTGATAATTTCTGGTGCCATATAATAGCACTTTTACTAGGTTTGTCATTTGAAACGAAGAAGTGGAATATACACACCTTTAACTTCTAAGATAGTAATCTTTCAATTATATTTATGAGGAAAATTCGTTATGTTTTAAAAAAAGACAATATAAATAACCCCTGCAAGGCTACACACTAAAATACTGAACAACAGCAATGAATCTAAAAAATATCGTCAAGGTTGGGTTGGAGGTAAATATAATACATACTTACGTTTACATGTAACGAGTGTTTAGTGTTTGCAAACTCAAATTATCATCAAATTCAAATGGTCCACTGAAAACATTTATGACGGTAGTTTAACTGAAACGATCCCAACATT